AATCTTTCTCTTGGTTAAACTTTTAAGATAACTTCACACAAAACGATTAAATATGCTTCCAACTTGGTCTTTTTGCTGTAAATCAACTTTTCCAATTTAGCAAAGTCGCGACATAGTGAAAATAACGTCTTAAAAATAATTTCTGAAAATTAATTTCCATAAAATAATTTCTAAAAATAATTCCTATAAATTAATTTCAAGAAATGAATAAAATAATTTTTTTATAATTATGTAACGATTAATGTTTAATAATTTTTTTCTATTTTTATTTTATTAAAGTAATTTTCGATAATATTTAAATAGAAAAAAAAATTCGTTTATTTTGAGCGAAAAAGGGGAGAAAAGCAGAAAAGAGAAGAGAAAAGAAAGTGGAGGTAAAATATTGAATGTGATTAATTTTTAAAAATATATAGAAAATAATTTTACTCTTGCATTATTTCTCTCTCTCTCTCTCGAGAGAGAGAGAGAGAGAGAGAGAGAGAAAGAGAGAGAGAGAAAAGTATAGTGAAGTAATAATATGTCATGTGTTATACATAAGATCCTTGAATGTTTAGATTTATATGTACACACCTTGATTTCCCTCAGGCTGAAAAGTCACAGGACGAAAGGGTTTTTCTTTTATATTCAAAATGTTCTATGGATAAAAAAAATTCACTTGTAATAAATATTTATTGCTCTCCGAAGTTATGATACTTGAGTCCTGCGAGGGTGATTATTACACTTTCTCTTTTTACTTCTTTTTTTTCAAAAGCTCACGTTTTCAGGGTGAAAGGCGAAAAAAAATTGTCAAAGGTATAGAAAGCAATATTTCAAGAAAAAAAAGAGCGAATCAGATACTGAAATTGTAATCGAAAAATAATTTATCTTCTTGTTTTTCCTTGTAAGAAAGAAAATAGAAAAAAAAACATATTTGAAATATTAAATAAAAATTGAAATTAAATAAAAATTGAATCGTAAATTATTAATTTGAAATTAAATCAATAATTCAATTGAAACCATAAACAAAGACAAAATACTAAACAAATTAACAAACGCGAATCTGCTAATTTTTTAAATAAATAATTTTCCTCCACTTCTGAAAATAATAATTCTGAATAATTTTCTCTAATTCAATTGAACGAAATTTTTTTTACGTTTAAATATTTTTCTAAATTTGCCAAATAAAATATGGAAAATAATATAAATTAAAAATTTTTATTTAATTAAGAATTGATTCTTTAACATACGGAATTATTTTTAAAAATATACAAATTAAATAAAGTAACAAAAATATCGTCCTTTGAAAATTTAAGAACACAAATAAATAAAATTTGACTAATTTCTAAAAATCGATTAGATAAAAAATTATTTTCATGAAATATTACATTATAAATATTTAATGCAAACAACTAGTCAAAGTTAATTCTCATTTTAACTATTTTGAATAACCAGTTGTATAATAGTAAATTTACATATATCTCTAAAATATGAAAATATCCCATTTGAATTTTCTATGAATTCCGAATGGTATACATTACAAGTTCATAAAACAAACAGCGTCTATTAGATCTATTAAAAAAAAATGTAACACATGACACACGTCACTAAACTTTTAAATCAAATTTCTGATTAAAAATTTTTTTTTCTGCGAGAAAAAGAATTATTTTTATTATTTGCGAAAAAATTGGATACTTTTTTTTCTAAAAAAGAAAAATATAATAAATATTTTTAGAGACACGACAAGGTAATGTATTTTTTGAACGATGTACATTTTCTTAATTAACACAATCAGGAGAATTGAATTTTTAATTTAAATTGCTTGTCTTTATATTTTTTGCAACCAAAAATCATTATTTATATATTTGGAGAATTACGCTGTAAACAAAAACATAAATTTTATATCTTATCTTGTCGAAATATACGAAGACAGTTTTGTAAAGTTTTCCAACTCACGCAAAACAGTGGAAAAAGAGAAAAAGTATGCTGGATTAAAAATTGATTTTTATTTAGGAATAAAATAATTATTATAATATATAATTTAATACAATTTATTACATAAAAAATTCCTCTTTTTTCCGTTACAACAAAATAAAATATATTTTTAATTCACCTAAAAAATAGTGAAATTAAAAAAAACCTTTTTTTTAAAGTTAACTTTAACTGCTGACAATTGTTATTAAAAATTGACATTGTTTATGATTTTTTTCTCGTCCGGATTTAATTAATAAGCATTCCTTTAAAGTTTTATCGTTTTCTCCCCCCAAAGATTTTTTCAATTGTTGTTTTTTCAAAAAAAATTCTCTTTTTTTACACTCAACTTTGACTGCTGCCAATTGCTATTAACAATTGAAATTGTTTATAATTTTTTTCTCATCTAGCCATAATTAGTTAGCAATCCTACAAAATTGTCGTTTTTTCCCCCCTTAGAAATTTTTTTTAATTCTTTTTTTAAATTTCTTTTTTATACACTCAATTTTGACTGCTGCCAATTGACCCTAGATTTTCATAAGAAAACTCTTAATTTTGAAGGAATTTAATTAGAAATTTTAAAGAAATTAGTTTTAAAAAAAAATTAATAATTCAAATTCTTCTGAAATTAGTTAGGTACATTTTTTAATACATATTTCATTCATTATTAAAAATTATGGATATATAGAAGAATTTTAGTTAAAAACACTAAAAAAAATTAAATTTTGAAGAAGTTACAAATAAAATTGCAGAAATTCAATTATGTTCAAAAAATATTCAAAATTCTCGTCAAAATTTCAAGTATCTTTATAAATAATAAAATTTTTCTCCGAAATTCAATTATTTTCAAATATTTGAATAAAATTCTTGGTAAAATTTTAATTATTTTCAAAAATTGTCCTCAATTTAATTATTTTAAATAACTACTTTTTTAATAAAATTTTCTAAAAGAATTCAATAATTTTATTAAAAATTTTATTTAAAAAATCTTAATAAAATTTTAAGCAAACATTTAATTATTTCCATAAATAATAATTAAATTTCCACAGTAATTCAATTATATTTACAATTTTTTAAAAATGTCTTCTCAATAATTCACATATTTTCATAAATAATAAAATTCATCGCGGAATTTCAATTATTTTTAATACAATTTTAATTTCAATTCTGTTGGAATTAGTTGAATTTTTTAATAGGTATTGTATTTAACATTATTTCCAAAATTTTAACGCAATTCTTAGAAAGAAATCAATTATCTAGATAAATATTAGAATTCTTTTCAGAAATTCTGTTGTTTTCAATAATTTTAATAAAATTCTTTGCAAAATTCAATTATTTTCATAAATAACAATATTAATCACGAGAATAAAATTATTTTCAAGAGTTGAAAAATTCTTTTCAGAAATTCAATTATTTTCAAAAATTAAAAAAAAATTCTCCTCATGATTTCAATTATTATCTTTATAAATAGCAAAAATCTTCGCTGAAATTCAATTATTTTAAAAAAATTTTAATAAAATTCTACGAAAACAAAATTTTTTTTTATAAATAATAAAAATTTTCCCAAGATTTCAATTATTTACAAATATTTTATTAATTTTTTCGCAATAATTCAATTATTTTTATAAATAAATAAAACTTTTTCTCAGTAATTTAATTATTTTCATAAATAATAAAACTCATCGCAGAATTTCAATTATTTTTCATACAATTTCAATTTCAATTCTGTTGACATTAGTTGAATTTTTTAATATTGTATTTAATATTATTTCCAAAATTTTAACACAATTCTTTGAAAAGAAATTAATTATCTAGATAAGTATCAAAATTCTTCCCAGAAATTCTATTGTTTTCAAGAATTTTAATAAAATTCTTAGCAAAATTTAATTATTTTCATAAATAACAATATTAATCACGAGAATAAAATTATTTTTAAGAGTTAGAAAATTCTTTTCAGAAATAATTCAATTGTTTTCAAAAATTAAAAAAAAAATTCTCGTCATAATTTCAATTATCTATATAAAAATTATAAAAATTTCCCAGGATTTCAATTATTTACTTTTTATAAATTTTTTCGCAATAATTCAATTATTTTTATAAATAAATAAAATTGTTTCTCAGTAATTTAATTATTTTCATAAAATATGCAGAATTTGAATTATTTTTGATACAATTTTAATCGAATTTCTTGAAAAATTTGATTATTCTCAAAAATTTTATTAAAATTCGTCAAAAGAATTCAATTATTAAAAAATTTGTTGATAAAATTCTTTATTTTGAAAAATTTGATGATTATCTAAATTATTATAAAACATGAAGAAATCGATCATTCCGAGTCTTCGACTCGGAGTGATCGATTTCTTCATGTTTTATAACAATTTTTTTAAGTTATTTAATTTCAAAAAGTTTTGAATTTAAAATTTTTGAAAATCTTCATTTCTATAGATAAAAATATTAATGATTAAATATTTATTTAAAAAAGATGTTATTGATTTTTTTCCGATTTTGCAGTTTCGATGAAGCATTAGAGTAATTTTGTATGAATGTATATTTATAATTTCTTTTTGTTTAACAGTTATTAAAAGTTATTGATGTTTTCGAATAATTTTACAATTCAAGAAATTTGTAAATAAATGTAAAAAAAAGTATTTTTGAGTGTCTAATAATTTTTAGAGTGAATCAGAATATTCTTTAGAGTCAGGGAAGAAGTCAAAATTTTGTCTCTCAAAATCAGGGAAAAACAAAATTAAATATTTGTGGCTACTCTCTTTAATTTTGAATATGATTCGAATTTGAAAAAAAATGAATGATTTCGTTCAATTGAACTTTGAAAACTTTGGGTACATTAAAAAAAATGAAATGGAAAAAATGTTCAATTAGCCAAAAAGGGGTCGAAAATTTAATTGAAACTTGAAAGTTTATTAATTTCGATGCTTTGGGAAAATTGGTATATGACAATTGGATGAGGAAACTTTTTGACATTTTGTTTTTTTTTTTGAAAAATGATACTAATATTTCGTTTCTTTTTTTTTTTTGTTTTTAAATGATTGCAGATATTGGATTGTTCGTCAGTTGAAAATATGACATCGGACGATCTCGCTGTAAGTTGTACTCATCGTTCGCGAACAGGGTCAGTGGTAAAGGGTCGACAATTGGATTGGAGTTTTCTCTTCGTGGCTGTGTTCATTGTTGCCGGTGGACTTGGCAATATTCTGGTTTGTTTGGCAGTGGGCCTCGACAGGCGATTGCACAATGTTACGAATTATTTTCTTCTATCTCTCGCCGTTGCCGATCTTCTTGTCAGTCTTTTTGTCATGCCTCTTGGTGCCATTCCTGGATTTCTCGGTAAGTCCAATTTTTGTTTGTAAATAAATTTTTTTTCAAATTTCTCTAATGTTTTTTATGTTTAGGAAAAATTTATTTTTATATTTTTCTAAAAGTAGATTTTTAAAATTAAAAAGTTAGAAAAAAATTACCATAATATATTGTAGGAGAGAGAAAAAGAATTTATCGATTTTTCTCTCTATTATATAATTGTACAATTCTTTTGTTCAGAAAATAAGAAATCCGGTGACATCGCATTACAAGTTGTAATACTCTCATTCTTTTTTTTTTCTTTCTTTTATTTCCTCCATATTTCCTAATATGTGGAATTTTCCAATTTATAGATTTTTTGAAGCGTAAACGGCTTTCAGAGTGAGTTAGTTAGTTCATAATTTGAAATTTTTAAATCGAAAAAGCAGTATATACAGTTGTAACACTTTCAATTTGATTACAATTTTCGGATTGCCATGTAACTTTATGAACTTGTTGATGACATAACTTTCCACTTTTCTCTCTCCCTCCCTCTTGATGTCAGAATCTCTCGTTCATTTCGTAAAGGAAATACGAAAAAATAATCATCACTCTCTCTCTCTCTCTTTTTTTTCGTAAATGTTCCGTGAAAAATATATAGATTTTTATTGGGACGGAAAAAAAATTGATATATAAGAAAGAAAGTCTTTCGCGATAAAAGTTTGTAACACCTTTTTCAGTTCTAAATTTTCTTTCTATTTCTTCAAAAATTCACTTTTCCTTTGTACGATATTTCGTGAAATTTTATATCTATATTTGTATAGATGTGCTCATCTTTTGTACATTTATAGAAAGCAGATGATAGTACCACTTTGAAAATGCAACCGCACAGACAATAATTTGAAACACAATTCCCTTGATATTAAAATGAGAAAGAGAGCATCAGGTCATTTTTGACTTGATTACTTATTGCCCACAATGGAAAATGTATTCTATATACATATATTTATGTGTGTGTATATTTTGATTATACAATATGTCATAATTGTAAATGCAAGAATTGTTTATATAGCATTGATTGACATGTTTATCAAATCACGAATGCAAAATTTAGAGAAGTGCAAATATGAGTGAAAGAGATATGTGTATATATATATTTTGTGTGCATGTATATATATACGTATATATAATACCATTACAAATCCTTCAAAATTTCCAATTTCAAAATGTAATCCACAGTTCTTGAATGAGAGTCAGCTGCTTGGAAATGAGCCAAATTTTGGTTCACGTAAAACTTTTTCAAAGTTGACAAAATGTTTTCAAAAAAACCGCCGTCAGAGATAAATATTCCTTTTCGGAAAATTTATAATCGTATCGATTATTTTTCGCAAGGTTTTTTTCTTTTATTTCTCTTAGAAACGAAAACGTTTGCTATAAATCACTTTTTTTGGTAGATTTTGTTGATATTAATAATAATAATAAAAATAATTAATTAACCATAATAATCTTCGTATTTCATTCTTTCATTCATACTGTTCGCAGTTTGAAGTTAGTTTTTGTGTATGCTATTGTTTTTTTTTTCCTTTAAAAAATTTTGTTTGACAAATCGAAAATATGAAGGTATTTTTTCAAGATTTATAATAAAATAATATTACAAAATAGAAAATTTAAAAAAAATTATGATTAACAAATATGAAATATACTCATATTTGTCAATTTAAAAATTTATTTAAAAATGAAATTGAAAATTTTTAAATTTTTAGAATAGAAAGGAAAAAATTTCATTGAAAAAAATGTTCTGTTAACTTTATTTACGAATATCTTTAATTGTAAAATTATTCGAAGACAATAATTTCTTTTTTAAATATTTTGAATATATACCTATAATTATAATTATTTTTCAGTAGGAATTAAAATTCTGCAAAACATTCAAATTCAAACCTTTTTGAAATTCATCAACTTTAAAAATATTTTTATAAAACATAAAGAAAACGAGTCTTCGACTCGGAGTGATCGTTTTCTTTGTCTTTTATAGTAATTAAAGAGGATCTTCTTCAAAATTATTTTTATATTCTATTATTATCTAAAATTCAAACTAAAATTCATTTTCAAATCAATTTTTATTAGAAAATTCAACTAGAATTGAATTATTTAAAATTTAAATATACAAAAAGTAAGAGCTGTTTGAATAATTGGACGTTTCTTAAAATTTAATTCTTATAAAGAATTTTATTAACTAATTTTTAAATCATTCAATTCTTTTGACGAATTTTAATAAAATTTTTTAGAATATTTACATTTTTCAAGGAATTAGATTAAAATTGTATTAAAAATAATTTAAATTCTACAACGCCCTAATACTTTTAATATTCAATTATTATTTAAAATTTTAAATAAAAATGTATTTTAAAATCAAGTTTTACTAGAAAATTCTACGAGAATTCAATTATTTAAATACAAAAATAAATAATTTATTGAACAATTGAATGTTTCTTAAAATTAAGAATTTTATTATTTATGAATATAATGGAATTTTAGTAAAATTTTTATTATTTATGAAAAAAATTAAATGTTTGCGTATAATTTTATTAAAATTGTTTTTAAGTAATCGATTTCTTTTAGGTAATTTTATTAAAATAGTAGTTATTGAAAATCATTGAAATGAGGAAGATTTTTGAAAATAATTGAAATTTTGACACGAATTTTATTAAAATTTGTGCAAATAAGTGAATTTTGAAAAAGAATTTTTTAATTTATGAAGATAATAATGGGTATTTTGTCGAGATATTTTTGTAAATTTTGAATATAATTGAATTTTGTGATAAGAATTTTATTACTTTTGAAAATAATTGAATTTCTGCAATCATTTGTTATTACTTCTTTAAAATTCAAATTTTGTAGTGTTTTTAACTAAAATTCTTCTATAAATTCATTATTTTTAATAATTATTTAATTAAAGATGTATTGACAAATTTAACTAATTTTAGAAGCTTTTAAATTATTAAATTTTGTAAAAAATCCAATTTCATTAAAATTTCTAATTAAATTCATTCAATTATTTTCATAAACAATAAAACTCATTGCAGAATTTCAATTATTTTTAATAAAATTTTACAGGAATTGCTCAAAAATGTAATTATTCTTAAAAATTAATTAAAATTCGTCAAAAGAATTAATATTTTTTTAAATTTTGTTAATAAAATTCTTTATTTGAATTGAATTTTAAGAAACATTGAATTATTCAATAAATTATTTATTTTTGTATTTAAATAATTGAATTCTCGTAGAATTTTCTATAATAAAAATTGATTTAAAATTGAATATCAAAATTTCGTAAAATTGAATCGTAAACAAATGAATTTGAAAATTCTCATAGATTTTTTTTAAAAATTAATAAAACTAATTGATTGAAAGAAGAATTTTAGTAAAAAATTCTAGAAAATAATAATTGAATTGAAATAATGAAAATAATTTTCAAGATGTCATGTTTTATAATAATTCTTATAAGTTGTTGAATTTTTAAAAGTTTTGAATTTGTAATTTTTGAAAATCTTAATTCCTATGGAAAAATGATAATGATTAAATATTTATTTAAAAAAGAAGTTATTAATGTTTTTGAATAATTTTTCAATTTAAGAAATTTTGTTATTTACTTTACTAGTAATGTATTTAAATAATTTTCAGTAGAAAATTTAACTGAAAAGTGATTTTATTTCGAAATTTATTTTATTGAATATTAATAGAAATTTTTAATTATTTTACTAATATTGAATCATTTTTAGTTGAAATGTTAACTGAAAAAAAAATGTAGAAATAGAAAAATAGAAACAGAATAAAAAATAAAATAGTTAATAGAAATTTTTTGTTACTTTAACTCTACAAGATATTATAGTGGAAATGTCACAATTTTTTTTCATTACTAACATTCAGTGATTCTAAACAATTTTTCCCATCTAGAATTCAAATTAATTTCATTTTTTTTATTTAATAATTTTACTTACCAAATTTAATTTACTAATATTAACTAATTTTATTAGTTCTAATTCTTCTAATTCTTCTAATTAATTTGAAAATTCCACGAAAATTGAAAGAAAATTCCATGAAAATATTACAAACATTGTTATTCTGTATAGAAATACCAGCGAGGGCACTTTCCGAGGAATTTTTCTTTACAATAAAATTAAAGATGAGAATATGGAGTAAAATATTAATAAGGATTATTTCTTCTCTCTTGAATTATATATACAACTGCGATTGAATATATTTATAAAGATGTAAATATTTTATGAAGCATTCGTAATGCTATTATTATAATGATATTTTTGTAATAATTTTTATTTTTAACACTCAATTCGTCATTTTTCACTCCTGCAACAAAATATTATATATTATATCGTGTTTGTCCAGTATTTTTGATGAAAAACTGGGTCAAAATAAGTGAAACCGGCCACTTGAAAAATTTTTGTCCCCGAATTTAAAGTTATCTATGGTTTTTGATAGATATATGAGTAAACTTTTACCCGCTAAAATATTTTTCAAAAATTTTATTTATTTTGAAAGTTATCAGGTGTTAAACTTTTAGGTTACTTTTTATTCTTTTCATTATTACTCCGAAACGAATGAAGATAATTTCAATTTTTTTTTTGGAAATTAAAGCTAAAAGTCTGTAGTTTAAAGTGCAACTGAAAAAATTGCTGTATAATAAAAATTTCTAATTGTTATTAACAATTATTTTAAACAATTGCGATTTAAAGTATGTTCTCAATGTCGGAAAAAAATCAAACTATACTCATGTGATGCGCAAAACTCTAACGAGTAAATTAAAAAAAAAAAAAGTGAGTAACCTCTAAAATTACAGAAGTTATGCATATTTTTCTGACGACGCGCGGGAATTAACTGATTCGCAAACTCTCGAGCGCGCGGGAATACGCCCGCGCCCGCTCCCGCCGCACTGCTCACACTTGTGTTTTCAAACAATTTATGTTAACAGAGATGGAGAAGTAATTAAAATATTATTTTCTTACTGAATAGTTTATTAATATTTTTACTTT